GTGCCCCACCAGCACCCATGAGCATGCATGGCGTGGGGCCTGGGAGTAGGTCACGTGCCTCCCACGTGGGGAGGAGGGGGGGGAAGTCACTCCCCCATGTAGTAGTCTTAGAGAATTTTTCATAAGTTGGGCAGTGGACATTGGCATGTTTGAGCTGTTGCACCCCCCTAACTTTTTCATACGAACTCCGATTAAGCTAATTTTGTGTACAGAGTTAGGGGATGGTCCAAGGGTATTCCAGAAAAAATTTCATAATTTTTTGACGAGGGAATTATTTTATAGGAATTTATTTCGGAAGGATTTTCCTTGTAAAATCCAAAACGGGCAGAATACAAGTCGAAAGGCCACGAAAATTTGCAGGCAGCATCCTGAGGTGATTATCTACCAAAAAGACCGAGGGTGGCATGGGGAAAAATGCACGAATTTTGAGACATGCCATGGTTGGGCAAAAACAGGTTGAAAACTCGCGCGACGGTGCGGTAGCGCCCATGCCATGGTGCGGGAAATCGCACCACAACCTCAAAGAACCTGATTTTTGTGACCATCTCCTTTTGCCCTGATTTTTTGCACACAGAGAGGGGATGGCCTGGACGTTGTTGACAGCAAGTTTGGGGCAATTTGGTCAAGCAGATTTTTTTATATGAATTTCGGAAGGTTTTTCCTCGTAAAATCCAAAACGGGCAGAATACGCGTTGGAAGGCCACGAAAATTTGCAGGCAGCATCCTGAGGTGATTATCTACCAAAAAGATCAAGGGTGGCATGGGGAAAAATCCATGGATTTTGGGATATGCCGTGGTGGGGCAAAAACAGGCTGAAAACTCGCGCCGTCGCGCGGTAGTACCCATGCCATGGTGCGGGGAATCGCGCCATAACCTCAAATAACCTGTTTCTTGCGACCATCTCGGTTTGCCCTGATTTTTTGCACACAGAAAGGCCATTGGTTGGAGGTCGTCCATAGCAAGTTTGGGGCGATTTGGTCAAGCAGATTTCGCTGGGCGGGATGGGGCAGTGCGGAAGTTGGCATGATAGCAGAGCATCAGTAGGCCGTGAACCTCGAAATCGTGCGGGCCACGGCGTTGGTGGCGCAGCACAGCACGGATGGCCGAGCATTAACGCCAAAACTTCAAAAATGGGCATTTTTGAAGGGGGGGATGCACGCATGCTGCCGTTCTGCTAGGGGCTGGGGCTGGGGCTGGGGCTGGCCGCAGCAACACAGCACAAGACCTATTGCATCGCGGCAGCAGCAACGACTGTGGCAGCAAGTTGCGCAGGGAGAGAAGCACGCGGTTGCTCTCGAGCGTAATTAATTAAATGGGGGGGAGGGATGATCGATTCCGTGAGTTGGGAGGAGCCGAGCGGCAGGAAGGGCGCACCGTGCGTGAGCAGCAGCAACAACTCAACCAACTCCCACAACGTGCAGCTCACTGCTCAGAAGTTTCCCAGAGTTGCTTATTTCCTGCCGCTGCCCATTGCCTGCGGTCGCTCACTGCTTGCTTCTGCTCACTTCCTACCATTGCTCACTGCCCATTGCTCACTACACGTTTTAACTTTTTTTCTTATAAAAAAATGATAGCAATTAGTAGTTGAAAATTCTTGGCCAACCCTCTATTTTATTGATTATGAGAGTATTAACCCCTCAACTTATAATAGATAAGATTTAGCCTCTTATCTTATTTTGATTGCAAGATAATTTTTGAATAACTACCCATCTATAAAAGATTAACTTAGCCCCTTACCTTATAATTATGAGAGTATCAGTTTATCAACTTGTAATACAAAAGTTTTAGACTTTCATTTTTTCAATTTAAATAAAAAATTTCAAAATGAATGACGACATTATGTGCTCGTTAAATTTGGTTTCTCATCTTAACACCAACATGGTAATTCTTTACCATCATGATTGCCACCAGAAACATAGCTCTCTACTTGTATTATACTTGATAAAATTGAATCCAATTCAAAAATCTAACCTAACTTATTTGCTACAAATAAGATCATGGATTTAAGCATTTTAGGTATCAATCTGAAATCAAATATAATTTAGACTAAAATTACTCGAACCCGATTGAAGGATTAAAACTTTTGGTTTTTAATAAACACATGATACTACTATTCATTTTTGGTTTTTATTTAAACTAAAATGATAAAAAGTTAAAACTTTTGTATTATAAGTTGAGGGATTATATTATAATCAAAAAAATAAAAAATAAAACTTTTATATTATAAGTTAAAAGCTCAGTACTCTCGTCATCAGCAGTAGACGGCTGGCCAAGAAATTTTCGCCGTAATTAGTAAGGGGGAAACGTGGTGGTTGCGTGGGAGGGAAACAAATGATTAGGATTAGCAACTGGGCTCTTGGGCTATTTTTCTCTATTTATTTATTTTTTTTGGGTAAATATTTGGGTATTTTGCTTGTAGTTGTAGTGCGAAATTCCAAGTTTCCTTCCCTCCAAAAACCTCTGCTTTTGGTATTTCAACTTCTTGCAGTCTGTGTTTAGTTGATTTGATTGA